CTCTTTTTTTAAAAAAAAAGAAAACAAAAGAAAAAAAGAAACTGTACAAATATAGAAAATACAAAGCAAGAGCTCCCCCACATCCATTCATATTCCCCTCCCCAGTAATCATCAGTCACCAGTTCTCTGTCTCCTTCCAGACCTTCCTATGCCCTTTAAGCAAAGAAATAGTAGTTTTGTTTTGGTTCTTTCTATGTAAATTGTTTGAGGGTTTCTTTGTTGCAGCTTGCTTTTTTCATATAGCAATTAGTCTCAGCGGTCTTTTCAAAGTTGCAGAAGATTTTGTAGGATGGCTCTACCTAGTTCATTTTCCTGTTGCTGGATATTGAGGTTGTCCCAAACTAAAGAATGATTTCATTTTAGCACATCTCCCATCGCATAAAATTATCATTTTAAAAATATGAATTTCAATGGAAATAAGTAATAAAAACAAGTTCTGGATATTTTGGTTTTTCCAAAAATCATAAAAAATTGTATTTCTAGATTTGTTTCTATATACTTAATGTAGCTGCAAATTTAATAATTTAAAAGGAAAAAAAGCAGAGGGTCTGTACTTTGTAATTCTCTTTACAGTCAAGCTTTTTGACCTTGAATAAGTATATTAGTTATATATTGCTGTGTAACAAGTTACTGTATTTTGCCATGTATAATGTGCTCCCATGTATAAAGTGCACCCACGTTTTTCACCCAAACTTTCAGGGGAAAAAAATCTTTCATTTTAATTTTTTAGTACTACCCGAGTATAATGTGCATCCTTATTTTTCCCTCACAAATTTGGGCAAAAAAAGTGCAGAGTATACACAGCAAAATACGTTACCTTGGAACCTAGTGGCTTAAAACAAACATTACCTCCCAGTTTCGGTGTGTCAGCCCAGCTGGGTCCTCTGGCTCTGGGTCTCACAATCTAGTTGTCCAGGGTCTTTGCTGGCTGCTGGCCTGAGACATCAGTTCCTTGTGGTGTGAGCCTCACAGGGCCACTCCCAGCGTGGCAGCTGGCCTCACCCACAGAGAAGGCATAGAGACAGAGAAAAACAGAAGTCTTCGCCTTTTTGTAACCTAATCTCAGACGTGACACTCTATCACTTTGGCCATATTCTATTCATTCAAAGTGAGTCAGTAAGTCCAGCTCTCACTTGAAGGGAGGTTACACAGAGGATGGCCACCTGGTGGAGGGATCATTGGCGCCATCTTAAAGACTACGTAGTTCCTATAAGTAACTTGGCCTCTCTATACCTCAGTTTTGTCCTCTGTACATATCTACCTTACAGGAGACATTATAACTGTTAAAAGAATTAAAATACGTAAAGTGTTTAGAACAGTACCTAGCACAGGGTAAGCACTAAGGAAATATTAGCTAAGTATGAATATAAAAACAATGTAACTGTATATACCTACTCTGTAATACACGGTGCTAAGATCATGGTGGTTGTTCAAGAAATACTTGCATTAAAAGACCCATAATTATTCAGAAGAAGTCTGAGCATGTGGGAATTACCCAGAAACAAAAGTACTTTATTTATAAAGATAAAGGTTCCTACTATAATTATCAGGGGGCTTCACAGTCACCTCCAAATTCCCCACAAGCTTTCCCCTTATTAGAAATTTCCACATAGCAAGCTCCAGTGCACTCCTGAGTCATCTCTAAATCTAAACAGAACAAGACGACCACACTTTGCTCTGAAAGTGCACACCATTAGCCTGATTGCAAAGTTGCCTAATTTGCGAAACCACACAACTTGTTAAGTTACAGAAAGAAGGGCAAGAGCTTGTCTGCCTAGCTGGAGTTCAGCAGTTTAGGTGAGATTAGGGGGTCAACTGTGAGGTTTTTGTGTTTTAAAACAAGACTCGCCCTGACATTTTAAGGAAAGAACGGTTTACTCAGTACACTCCTAGTCTTTAAAGGGTAGTAGAGAGGGGGTGATGGGTAAAGGAGGGATGTCTGCTTTGCACGTCCCTTTTGTGCAATTCTCGATGCAGTGGGTGGAGGAAGGAGGCCAACCTGCCCTGCAGCAGATGTGGTAAATGAGTCACAAATCAGAAGACAAAAAAAGGCTGGACCCCCAACTCCTCCCCAAGCTACAAAGTCACCCATTAATCACAAGTCCAGCAAGAGCACCAATTCCCCAGGGGCAGAGAAGCCTCGCCACAGCATGCATGCCCTCCCGATAGGCAGCGCTCTAGCTCACAGAGCAAAGGCCACCTTTCTCTGAGTCAAAAGCCCCAAGAACGGAGGAAAAGGAAGGAGGACTGGAAGGGCCAGCCTGGCAGCCTGGAGAGGTCACTAAAGTGGATCAACCAGCAGGCCTGTCCACCCCCCTCCCACCTACCTTCAGCAACTGCCCAGGGGAGACTTTTTTTTTTGTAATTACCCTGGTGACTTAATCAGGAGTGCAATGATGCGAAGGAGGAAGCAAGAAGAAATTTGTCCATACTACAAGAGGCATCTGTCATGGTAAGAGTGGATGGGTTAGTTGTATTTTTAGAAAAATAAACCAAATCTCTCCACAGAAAATGACTTTTCCTGTTCTTTGTTTCCACACCTCTGAAAACAAATTGCCTTTTGAACAACCAGGGCCTCGCTGGCTAGAACATGGAAAGCTCATGTCAACGTGGCAAGGGTGGGGACCCCACTTCTCCAGTGAGAGCTAGGAAGCTGTGGGAATGAGGGACACCTGCATTGAGGCCAGAGACGGGGGAAAGAAAATAAACCCTGGTAATAAATTCCACTTGCTTGGGTGTTAAAGGTAGAAAATACATTTTCTCCAATAAAAGTGAAACTGTGGCTGCTTTTCTGTTGTTGTCACTTTTCTGTTCTTTGATATAAAAGGCACAAATGGATAAATAGAATATGATTTAAATTTTTTTCCTCTCAAGGCCAGCTAAGGAAAGAATTTATGTAAAGTGTGCCCACATAATTCAGTGCTTTTATTACAAGCTGTGCAACTGTTTTCTGACTGTGTTGAGTGTGCCAATCTTAACTCTTTAACCAGGCTAGGAGTCAGGCATAATTGAAAGGGATATAGACTAGTAGTTAAGAAGGAGGGCTCTGAAGATTTTATCAGCCGTGTATTTCTGAGCAAATTAATCTCCCTGTTTCAGTTTCAACTATAAAATGGAGACGAGAACAATAGTACCCATAGTGTAGGGTTGTTACAAAGTCTTTAGAACTATCCATGCCTGGCACTTAGTAGGCACTCAATAAATATTATTTTAGATTACCCTTTCCAAATTCCGATTCAGCCATGTTGTAGTGCTTTTCAAAAACCTACAGTGGTTACCACTTATTGAGGTAAAGGTTTTGTCAGACCAACTGAGACTCCCATGCGCCACCCCCAACCCCCAAGCCCAATGCACTCCCAAATGCATTCTTTCAGTTAGCTCCTGCTCCAATGCCTTTACCCCCACCAATTCATCTGAAATCCTCTCCCATGAGTGTTTAGTAATACACTTGCTCCCATACTGGAATGGAAACTGAATGAGAACCATTCTCACAGCCCAAACAAATGCTGAGGAAACACTGAATGACATCATATCTATTAATCTTTTTCAAGCGTTATATCATATTCCATCAAAACCCATGCATGTAGTCCTTCTAAGATGCCTTTTATAAGATTAAACTTAATTTTTTCTGGGCTCTAACAGCATATTTCTTAAACAGATTTTATTCACTGATATCCAACATTAATACTAAACATTCACTAATAGTATTTTTTAAATAATAGCTAACATTTAGCAGTGCTTATAATGGGCCAGGTTCTTGGCATATATCAAACTCATTTAATCCTCACTATCTCACCTATAAGCTAGGCACTGTGTTTATTCCACTTTTACAGATGAGGAAATTGAGGCACAGAAAATTAAAGAATTTGCCCAAAGTCACACAGATGGTAAGTGGGGGGCACCGTTCTTCATCCAGTCCTGTCTGTTGTTCCTTACACTGTCTCTCCTAAAGAATCATCTAGGTAGCCCCTTCTTCCAATTCCAGTGTCAGTGGATCAGCCTAAGCAGAAAGCCAGTTTAACTCCGAGCACACGGTATACCTTAAGTTAACATGTGGTTTTGGGACAATATGGATGGATCTTGAGAGTATCATGCTAAGTGAAATAAATCAGATGGAAAAAGTCGAAAACCATATGATTTCACTGTGGGATATAAAACTGAAAGCAACAATCACTCATAGCCACGGTAGGTAACAGGAGAAAAAGGGGGAAAGGGGATGGTAGAAGAAGGTAAAGGGGGGTCAAATACATGGTGACTGAAGATTTGACTTTGGGTGGTGAACACAATGCATACAGCGGTGATGTACTATATATAGAACTGTACGCTTGAAACCTTTACAATTTTATTAACCAATGTCACCCCAAGAAACTTAATTTTTAAAAAACTAAGGTGTGGTTCACTCTGCAGGGCGAGCGCCTACACTTCACACCAAAGCCTTGGACTGCCATGAGAACCTCAAAGATGAGGGCGCAGCGCATTATATTGGAGAGCCACCCACTGTCTTCCTGAGGCCTCATGACCCAACCCAGATTTCTGGCATTCGTTGGGGGAATATCGACTCTCCTTTTAGTCAACGATGTCCATGAACTCCCAACCGGGCCTGCTAAGCAAGGAAGAGGCACTCAATTCAACGAAGTCTTCCCCTTTCGGTTCGTAAAGAAATAAGAGTTTACCTCCTCCCCACTGCGGTGAGAGGAACCGCGCAGTTGCCCAAACCCACCCTTAACAGCTCAGCACTAGATCCTGTGCCCGCTGCAGACACGACCCGAGCCCCCAGCCCAGCTCCTGCCCAAAGCTCCGCGTCCTGACCCCGCGTTACAGACTAGGAGCCCGGCGGCCCGTGCCGGACGCCTCCCCCGCGCGCCGGTGACTCAACCCCGGTAAGAAAAGTCTCACGGTTTTTTCCAACCTGTCCAGGGGAGGCCGAGTCCCGTCCCGCCCACCACCCAAGCCCCCGCCCGCCCCGCCTGAAGTTGTGCTCTGGTTCCAACCAGGGGGACACGTGGGCGTGGCTCCACGGGGAGTGGCCAGACGACTTCGGCGGCGCCTTCCCGAAGGGCGGCCCCCTCCCCAACCCGGAAAACCAGACCCCGCGCCGCCGCGGCGCGCCGGGCATGCTCATTAGCGCGGACCCGGCCCGCAGTCCGAACAGGAAGCGTCCGCGCTAGGCGGCCCCCTGCGCTGCCAGCTGGAGCCGGGCGGAGCCGGCGCCGGGTCGCTGGGTGGCTCTGCCAGTCCCCGCGCGCCTGGGCGGCCGCACACGTGTCCAGGCGTCACGTCCGCGCGCGCCCCCGGGGCTTGCGTCAGCTGCCGCTCCAAAGCTGGCGTGCCGGGGCTCTGCGCACCGATCGGTTTCGGGGCCCGCGACGCTGCCGGGAGGAGGGGCCTGGGGGCGCGGAGAGGTGCTCGGATCGCCCAGGGCCGCGGAGATCCTCTGCGCGGTTCAGCCTCCCGCCTGCCCGGCGTCCGCCGTCTCCGCTGCCCCGTCCCGGGCTGGGCGCGGTGGCGTTGCCCCAGAGCCCGCCGCCCGCGGGGCGCGCACCGCCTTAACCCCGGCGGCCCCGCGGCAGGCAGGAGCGCGCAGTTCCATGGTTGGTTCGGAGCGCGATGAGCCGCCCGTCCTCCACCGGCCCCAGCGCTAACAAACCCTGCAGCAAGCAGCCGCCGCCGCAGCCCCAGCACGCTCCGTCCCCGGCTGCGCCCCCGGCCGCCGCCACCATCTCGGCTGCGGGCCCCGGCTCGTCCGCGGTGCCCGCCGCGGCGGCGGTTATCTCGGGCCCCGGCGGCGGTGGCGGGGCTGGCCCGGTGTCCCCGCAGCACCACGAGTTGACCTCGCTCTTCGAGTGTCCGGTCTGCTTTGACTATGTCCTGCCCCCCATCCTGCAGTGCCAGGCCGGGCACCTGGTGTGTAACCAATGCCGCCAGAAGTTGAGCTGCTGCCCGACGTGCAGGGGCGCTCTGACGCCCAGCATCAGGAACCTTGCTATGGAGAAGGTGGCCTCCGCAGTCCTGTTTCCCTGCAAGGTAAGCCCAGATGCTACCAGCGCACCTCATCCTGGAGACCTAGAACTCCCAGCCCACTCGCCGGCGCTGAGAGGCAGGTGGCATCTCTTATTTTAAAAAAACAAAATGTGTACACTTTGTCCACCTCTCCCATGCCCCACCTGTCCACTTTGGGAGTAGCTCTGGGCTGATAGTTGCCCTAGCCCTGACCCCAGACCAATTGGCACGGGATCGCTGTTCGAACACATCACAGCTCTCCCCCATCCAATGCCTTCGTGCTCTGCATGCGTGTACTTGGGTGTGCTGGGCAGGGCTGGGCCGCACAAGTAAAACTTGGACCGGGAAGCCGACTATCAATGGGGGTTTGAGAAGGGAGTAAATGGATGAACTAAACGCACCCTTTACCAGCACTTGGCTTGGCAGGATTGGTACCGGATTCCTCCTGCACCCCTCACCTGCAGTGTGCGCGCTCCTGATAGGTGGAAGCCCTCTGGAGTGCAGTCAACAAAAGGGATGCCTACAGTTTGTTTTCTTTTCTCCAGCAGAAAGAAAACCCTGCAAGCCACGCCTTTCCCTCTCCTAACCTTCCAAGGACTGGGGAGTTGTGGTTTTTTTACTAAGTGGGGTGAAAACAAAAGTTGATCAGGAATTTAACAGGAAGGACACACAGGAGCTGTTGTTACAGTTCTTTAAAGCTCATCACTTAATTTTTAAATTTAGTTTAAAAAGTTATCAGTGCTCCTGCAAAGAAAAAAAAAAGGCAAACCCCTAAGATAAGTCAAGAGAAAGACTTAGATATCTCCCCTCCTTTCCCACCATCCTTAGGTTTAGTGTATATGTTTATGGATTTTTTTCTAACCACATGTAAATACACTCTTGCAGCTGAATATAGAATCCTAGATGTCAGTGTGTGTCAGGAAGGTTTATATATATGCACACATAGGCATAAGTTTTTCTCCAAAAATGGCTTCTGCAACTTGCTGTTTTAAATTCATTATTATCACACACGTTTCTATGGCTGAAACCTAGTTCTCCCTCGCTGTATTTTAAATGGCTACATAGTATTGCATTGTGTGGTCATATTGTAACATCTGTTTACCTACATCTGTCACATAAAAATCTTAAGGAGCTGTTTCAGAGACATACATATCTATATTACTCATTATAACCTAGAGCTATACCATAAAGTTCATTTTCTAAACTTAGAAATGAAAATGTCATTAATTGTTTTGAGGTAAAAGTAACTGCTCTGCCTCTTGAGTCATTTGGGCTGTCTTGCATTTCTCCTTATTGCTGCTTATTTTTATAGGGCAAGAGCTTATTTTTAAATTAAAAATAATCCACCCGAGAATTGAAGCTTGGGAGTCAAGTCAGTAAAATGAGTGATTTAATTTGGTCTGTGCCCTGCCACAGATGAAGTTTAAAATAGCATATTCAAATAAGGGTTTGAATTTGTGTTTGAACTATGGGTTTTGTGTCAACCTTAATATATTACTCTGCTTTCAACCACTCCTCATATAATGCTTACCAATTCACCCAGTCCAGTCCAGCAGTTGTTTCTCATTACATTTAGACAGAATACTTCTGTAAGTTTCTTAGGATCATGAAGAAGGTGGTAGCCTAATGATCAAGAGACGATTTGGTGATAGTGGACATAAGCGTGGTATTTAATGTTTGAGATATATTGTGAGGGCTAGGGGGGTACCCCATAGGATTTCCAGGGAGCCATCTTCTCAGACTTTCACTTTTCCCCAAACCTTCAATGGCCAGCAGAAGAAATGGTTTTAGGTGAATTACAGTTCACAAATGCGCATCTGATATCAGTCAGTCTTCCATAATTTATTTTCAAACAGCAATCTTATCAGAGCATTGTTTTGCTCCCAAGAGAAAGGGAAGGAAACAGTTATATGAATAGCATACTATATGAAGTATGACGTTTCACTTTCAGGATCTAGGACTCTGGTTTCTATTGAAGTATATGTCTGTTCTAACATGTAACATGCTAGTGAAGAGTCGTTCTCTTGGGAATCAGGTACTCACCCTTTCTCTACATATCAGTGATTTCCCAAGTCCCTATTCTGTAAGAATGCAGTTGGGCAAAGCCATCACCTGCAGGCTGAAATATACCAGGGTCAACCATTCCCTTGCACACCAGGAACCAAGCTTAGCGAGTGATCTTGGGGTCACTTTTGTGTATTTACATGTGTGTGAGATAAAACTGGAGTATCATGCCTCAACTTCAGTTGACCAATATTTCAGACTATTGGCAGGCCAGTTAGTTCAGATAAACCAAACCTGGATGTATATTGAGGCCCAACAAAAAAACCAAGATCTGTTAGTTGGGGAGAATGAGAGCAGTAGGGACTGGTAAGGTCTATGTCAGACTTCAACAAAATAGTCTGTGTATGTAGCCCTTTGGCTGGCACTTGCTCCTGGAAATCATAGGGACTGCCTTGTCACTGCCCCTACCTGTTCTCAGAATCTGCCATGGGCTGCCTCATGTGAGAAAACCAATGTTGGGTAAAGTACCAGAGCCCAGATGTCAAGAGTAGTCTGGAGCTGCCACTGTTTGCCTGAGAGACCACTTCTGGGGGCCTTGATTTCCTCATCTGTATGAGTGGATTGGACTGCTTGACTTCTAAGGACCTGTAGCTTCTGGCATTCCAGGAAATGAAGAGAGGCTAGGTGCAATGTTTATTGGGTGCTTTCTGTGTGCCAGCTACTTTGTGTGGGTCAGCTCTTACTAATTTACCTTTCTTTTTTTTCAGATGAGGAAACTCATGCATATAGAGAGGTTAAGTGTTAGTTAGGTGACTTGTCAAGATCACACAGCTAATAGGTGGGCCAGTCCGTGAACCTACATCCCAAAGGCACACATCCTTTGTACTACTCAGTACGTAGGGATTTTGAATCTGAGCTTATACTCTAAGGCTCCAAATCATAACTCAAGGTTGTCGCCAGTAACAAAACCATCTGGTTGGATAAGTTCACCAAATGGGCCTCTAATGGGAACATCCCAACGAGAAAACATACATGCTCATAAGAAAGTTCATTGGCAGGAATTTCGTAGGGCCTTTGGAGTCAGAATACCTAGAGAAACATAACCTACAAACCTTATACTTTGGGGGGATTTCATTACAGCTCCCAGCTGTTCATGCTTCAGTTCGCCCAAAAATGGATGTGTTGCCAAATAACTTCCTTACATAGGTGTGGGCCACTTAAAGGTTAAAATGCTGCCAGCACTGTTGATAGAGGGCACCACATGCATTATTAGCTCAGGTCTCCTTTTTTAAAAAGTATCTCTATCAGAGTATGGCTGTCTTCCACTTGTGGTATTTTTAGTCCATTCTATGGCTTGTTTCATGCCTGAGAAGTTTTGACATCCTGTTCCCTGTATCTCAAACCCAGCACCTCAATGGTGCGTGGGTGTAGAAGTGAAGGTTGACACATTTGTGCCCCCACTCAACATTTTAATATCAGCCGAGTATTTCTCTCCACAACTGTGGGAAATGTTAAAGTACTCCGGCCCACTTACACTATGATATGCTTTATTTCCATTTTTTATTTTGTCACCTCTAAAAGTTTCTAGTACCGCAGTCAGACAAGTTTTCCCTGCTGCTGGATTGTGACAGTGTTTTTTTTTCCCCAAAAAAAAAAAAAAAGTCAAGTTAGATAACCTAGTTGAAAGGTGAAAGCTCCCAGTGTGTGGACTCATCTAGTCCAATATCAACAAATCTTAAATACTAGCAGAGACAGGTCATGGAAGGGAGAGTGGCATCTGACCGTGGCCTCAGGGTTCAGGAGACCTCAAGGAGGTGGTTGGGATCTGGGGAACACATGCCACCTCCAAATAGGGCCACTTTTACTCAGCACTGGATGAATGATTGGTAGGGATGTGAATGTGTATGCAGCCATGACAGACCTTTGGATTTTTTTTTTTTTCCCAAGAAAAGCCAGAAATCGGGATTTTTTTTTTTTAACATTGCCCAAGTTCAAATATAAAGCCAACACTTGGTTGAGCCTGTAAGTTCTCATTTAACTCTTCTTACCTACATGAACTTTGGAAGGCTGATAGGTGTATGTGATTTGGTAGCTTATTTTCTTTTCATCTTTGTTTTGCCAAGAGAATATTCCATTTTTGCCGCTGGGAGACCTGAATTCTAGTGACTATATGCTTGACTTTGTACCAACCAGTTTATTTCTTTGCACCTGAGTGTCTTCATCTTTAAGAGAAAGGGTTGGGCTAAATGATTATACCGGATCTTTTTTGCTCTAAAATTTCGGAACCTACTCAACCATACAAGGGAAGAGAGCACTAGGCAGGAGACAAACTGGATTTTCATCCTGGCTTCCTATAACCTTGGTCCAGTCATGTACTTCCCTAAACCTGTTTGTTCATCCATTGCTCTGAGATCAGATTAGAAGAGGGCTTAGGTGGTCACCATATCAAAGAGAAGATTACTGGTATTAGGGTGGTTGATAGATGATGATTGATTGATCACCTTAGAGGTCTGAAGAGATAAGTCAATTTGCCAAAACCATGTCAAAGATCTTAACCTCAAAATTTTTTCCTTAGGAAAAGTAGTTTTTTTGGAAATTGTCCCTGTGGTCCTCTCTTCTAGCTGAGGTTAAGCAGGTTGGCACATGAGCTCATGCGCTGGCAAGCACTGGACTCCATATACATTTACAGTGAGGCTCAAGATTTTGAAGAACAAAATTGAAAATACAGCTTTTATGTGTAAAATTAAGAACAGAAGCACTAGAATGCTGTGTTGGAAGAGTACTAAAGTTGAATGGTGTTTCCACACATAGTTGGCCAAAGACTTCACAGGTTACCATGGCCTGGAACTGGAGTAAATTATTGTTACTTAAAGTTGATCTTTGGTACAACTAGAATGGAGGCGAACCAAAAGATGCAGCAGGGCTGGCCTGTAAAGTCCGCAGCCTGAGGCTGAATTAATTCTCCCATCTGCGTTTGAAGCCCCATATAAACTGCTGCGTACTATTGAGTCGTTGGAAAA